GACCCGAATACTATTTGCGAGCAATTCAGCAAGCACTTCTCGCAACGCTGAAAAACTGGAACTGAGATCTCTATCATTACATTTCCAATGCTGACATCCAGACATCTGTCGAAAATCGATTTTACACCCTCCAACATCAAGCAGGCCATAGCTGCCCTGAAAAAGCCTTATGATGGTAGACCTGACGGGATACCTCCATCATTTTTGAAATATGGGAGTGGAGAGTTTCCACTATTTTGTTTGAAACTTTTCGATCTATCTATGGAATATGGGACCTATCAATCTGTATGGAAAACATCTCTTATCAGCCCTACATTCAAAACAGGATAACGTAGTGGTACTATTAACTATAGGCCAATTAAATTGACATCCGTGCTCTCAAGAACCATGGAAAAAATCATCCACATACAGCTATTATCATTTTTACTTTCGGCTAGTCTGATCAGCCCATCCCAACACGGGTTTATGACTAAACGCTGAGGTTTCACATCACACCTGCAATTTTTTGATCAAATTACTCAGAGAAAAGATGTTGGTCAGTCAGTGATAGTTTTTTACTTCGATTTTAGTAAGGATTTCGACAGTGTCTCACACAAACTTCTTTTAAAACTCTCTTCATTTGGCATACAGAATCCCCTTTTATCTTGGCTCAAATCTTTTTTAGAAGAACGTAGCCAAATCGTTCGCTTTGAATCTTGCTACTCTAAACCTGTGAATGTAACCAGTGGGGTTATAGAGGGAAGTGTGGTTGGGCCACTACTCTTTCTCCTTTTTATCAGTGACGTGTGTTCCCTATTTCAGTATGGTAAACCTTTCCTTTTTGCCGATGACTTGTAAGTAGTTTATTCATTCTCTTCTCCCACGAATTAAAGCTATATTTCAGCGGTAATCCAGGAGGAAATAAAAAAGTTATACGAATGGAGTTTTTCGTGGAATTCGGCACTTAATGTTGACAAAAGTGGATTTATGCACATTGGCCGCTGCCTTAACTTAAATCTGACTATACATAAGCATACACTCAAACCTCTCAACACTGTTCATGACTTGGGTTTAAGATATAGCAACAGTCTGAACTTTTCTGAGCAAATTATATTTCAAGTATCCAAAGCTAGAAAGCTCATCGGATTGATAATGATAAACTTCAATAATATCGAATCGAGGTTGTTATTATACAGAAAATGTATCTTACCCATTCTTGAATATAGTATTTTAGTTTACAGTAATTGAAGGCATAAGGACCTGATTAAAACTGAAGGTGTTCAAAGAAAGTTCACCAAAGCTGTTCTGGGGTATTCCGATAACAAAGACTATCACCAAAGATGTCAACAACTCAACTTGGAACCTCTTTGGATCAGACGCATCAAATTAAATCTTGTCTTTATCTACCGACTTATTAACGGTATTTCCTACTCTTCGGTATCCACCCCTTCATACCTTATGATATCATCCCACAGTCTACGCAGTAAGGAGAATATTCTACCGATTCCAAGAACCCACTCAAACTGACGCCAGAATTTCTTCCTTATTCGCTACTCAACCATGTGGAACAGACTTCCAGTGAACCTCGGTCGCAGTGAAACTACAACCCGGCTCAGAAGTCTCCTTCATGATTTTCTTCCCGAAAGTGAATTATATCACCTATTGAATATCGATGTGTTTAATAATGATTTATACAAAAAAGGTCCGTCATTCATTTAATTGACTGAAAAGAAAAATGTAACCTTTTGAACTTTTCACGTCTATATTATTTTATTCTACTCATCTTAATATATGAAGTCTGGTTATGTTTGTATTTATAATTATTACCTTTATCAATATGATTATTGGTCCCCCGATACATTGGATACTCTTTTTATCTCTTCTTATCCTTATAAACATATTTAATTCCAGATTGTCCTTTGAAATAAATTGTGACTTTCATAGCATCATTCTTAATTATTATTGCACAAATATTTATACTAATATCCGGTTTCACTCTGTATACTATTACATAAATCCAAAGGTATTCATCCGAGTGCACTAAAGAACTTTTATTTTATTTTTCTCAATTACTGGTTTACTTCTGAGGTCGATATTCATTACACAATTATTATTCTTATCATGGATGAACCTTTTCACTAGGTGTCCACTTCTTTTCTCTCTCCTTTCCCTTCTAAATAAATAATATTCTTAAGATTACGGAGTTTGTAATAAAGACAATAGCTTGTGTTACACTTAAATTAACTTCTCAGACCCGTTTTATCTTCACTATGCATATATGTCTCATACATATTGATATTTCATTATCCTTTTCACTCAATTGAGACTTTCATCGCATCACTCCAAACTATGACTGCACAAACATTTATTCTAGAGTCATATCTTACTACAATAATAAGTGGTTTTTTCTTAATTGTTTTTTGTTATTAATTTGACGATGTATATATGGTCGTTTATTCATGTTCTGTGTTCACAAACACGCCTATTAAACTATTTGCGTACTTTACGTCTCCTTTATTTCTGTTCCCTTATTTTCTCCATTTCCTTCTTTAAACTGAATTCAATATTCTTCCCAATTACACAGACCTGATTTATTATTATTCTATTATTATTACTATTTTTTAAATATGGCAAGTATAATGCTACATTATTGAAATCTGTGTCTTATTGCATTTTTTGAAGAAACCCGAAATGGTTTCTTCACAACACTTATGCACCCATAAGATGTTTGCGAATGATAATAACTGGAGACACAGACTCATGTGCACTTCAGGCAGACTTAAACAGCATGGTTAACTGGTCTAAAGTGTGTCTACATGCACTTCGAGGATACAAAGGTTAATAGGTACGGCATAGGCGAAGCGCCACTACCCGCGGTCCGGTCTCATCCGTATCTAGGGGTGACGGTGAGTCATGATCTTAAGACGATGGATCATTGCCATGAGGTCTCAGCTACGTGGTTTAGAACCCTCTGAGCTTTAAAATGGACATTCACTAAGTTATATACTACCATGTTCATCACAGTATATACAACCTTAGTGAGAACTACACTTGAGAACTGTGTTCATTCTGCAAGCCCCTGTTAAAAAAGACTCGGAAATTCTAGAAAAAGTACAGAGGGCAGCTACCCGTACAATTCCAGAACTCCGGGGTTTACCATACAAAGAGAGGCTTGAAAAGCTGGAACTCTTTACTCTGTCCTATCTTAGACTAAGGAGAAATCTAATTTCGATGTACAGAATACTCAGAAATGATTTTGGACCTAACTTATTCTCTCTTTTTCTTCCCACTAGATCGGGGCATTTCAGAAGATATAGCAGGCGGGTCGAAAAGCTAAGAACGAACAAAGTACCCGTGGCATACAAGTTTCCCATCGAGTCATCAATACTTGGAACCTGCTCCCCCAAGCAGTGGTGTCCGCACCTTCAATTGACTAGTTCATAAGAAGACTGGACACTGACAAAAGCATATTAGAAAAGGAATAACACAGGCTGTAGGCCATCTGTCCTTAATACACGAATCTGAATCTGATTTATATTGTGACAACTTCCCTCATCATACACCGAAATTTAGACCGATCCATTGAACCCTGAGACACTCCATTACTTGAATTAATACCCACCAGTCCAATGAATTGCTCCAATGCGATGCAAAATAGATTGTAATCTCTGAGCGTTTATATTAAAGGATGTGTCAAATACAATATCTGTCCAAGACATGTGACACCAACAAGAAAAGGTCTAGCGCTTGGAGATATGAGGAGATTATGAAAGCACGTAATGTATCAAAAAATGATTAAAACTTGTTGTGGTGTACAAGGGGACTGTCAATTCTTAGAAATGATTTAGAGGTCTAGGGTTTTTTAAGTTAACTTATTTTTTGGGTTTCTTGGTATTGACGAGCTCGGACATACGTATAAGAGGTCGAGAGTACGAAAAATAAGATTAACACGCATAACATACAGAGATTAAGACAAGAAACGAACTCGAAGATCGTTCTCAAACGTGCCGAGCAAAAAGGCTCACCAGTGAGCATTTTAGATACGAAAAAAATAGGGTATTGTTTTATGAGTAATACTTTGAGGAAAAACCAGGATAAAATCGATAATTGCTGAAGGTCTTTTCATACACATTGTTCCCTCTGTCGTTTCGAAAGGAGCAAGGACAAAGATTCTAGCGGAATGGCATGAATTCATTTTATTTCATAAGTTCTCGTCAGCTGATTAAAACCTGCGATTTTTAAGGTCGTAATTACATTGGTTTAAGTTACTTGTATGAGAGTTTTGGTTGGAAGCTATATGCATATATACTGTACGGATATATCTTCAACAGAACTTCCAACCAAACCTTTCATGCAAGTGATTTAAACCCATTATGTAATTATGATTTTAAATATCACAGCTTTTAAGCAGCTGACGAGAACCTACGAAATGAAATGAATCCATTCGACTTTGCTAGAACCTTTGTTTTTGCTTTTTCCAACATTGCTGAGGGTTTTTATAAAGCAATTTACTTTACGATTCATCGCTACAGATACAGATCACAGAGGACTAGTTGGTAATAGTGAAGCAATCATAAATTTGTTCATGATAACGCAGAAACAGTTCACGTTTATAAATTTGAGAGAAGTCGCAAATTCATTTCAAAATTTATGCTCGCAGTGCAAAGTTTGTTTTTCTTAATCACATCTACAATTGGACAGCCTAAGGAGATGTACCTACCGAATCTAGTCTTGTGTGCTTTGTGGTTTAGATGAATTCAGTCAATTGTTTTTCAAAAATGTATATGATGCATAATAGAGTCTGGCCTTATTGGTGGGGTTTGATATTGTTCGTAATACAAAACTTATGGTAAACCTCAGAAACCTTCCACTGCGAGAAATCTGAATGGTTTTAGTCTAATGATAAGTGTCAAGAATACGAGAATCCAATAATTATTGCATTGCGAAGTAAGTTACGTACCAGTTCATTGTTCCTGCTTCTATATGTCCTTTTTAAATTGCCCTCGTATCCGACACTGAACGTCCTAAAACTGAGCGCCACCTTAAAAGTATGATCTGTTCGTCCATAAGGTCTTATTTTATGAAGGGGGTTATTTTAACTTAATGTAATTGTTTCAAGCGGATATATGCCCATTCAGATTTGTGTAATTTCATTTATATAGTACACCTAGTAGCACGTTCTCGCCAAAACATTACTGTTTTACTTCATTTCAAGATTCTTCAGTGTTCCTTTGAGCTTCTACAGTAATTTCTGTTGAATACCTGAGTTTTTATTACATTATGCGATACCTCAATCCCCTGGTTTCGGGGGAGATTTTATGCGCTTTAGGAAAGCCATATTGGAAAATGTTGGAAAACCCCAAAGGTTCATATCTGGTATTTTACCTCGAAATATCCCCAGACTTTGGGGAAGGTACTCATTTTCATTTGGTTTTAGGGAAAGCTACAGAATTTCTCCGAAAACAGGAGACTGGGACTAGCCCTGAATTAGTTTCCATGATTATTATGCTCAGGAAAATGACTCAGTACCTGTAAAAAAAGAAACAGCCTTTTTAAGGGGTGTTGGTTCAGTAGTTAGGGTGTTCGACTTCCAGTCATTCGAACCTCATTTAATCTACTTCCGTTTGGACAACCAGGTGGTTCCATTAGCCTCCACACTTCTAGGGTAGCTCATATACAATTACTTGGTAATGAGTATTAATTCTTTCTCAGGTTGAATATTCAATTTAAAGTCTACGTCCATTTGCGTCTTTGTTTTTTATCATATGAATTGAGCTTCACCAAATCCTAAGACACTTTCAGACTGTATACTTATATGTTCAGTACACTAGATTTACATGTCTCGGGAAGCAAAACAGAACAGATTTTAGATTGGATTCACAGTTTTGTGATTAAATTTTGTTGGGGATCAAACACCGTACACCAAAGACTACAATAAGTGAAAAACCTTTTCATACGTAAAAAATACTATGCCTAGTGAGAATTTTCCCTCGACTATCGGTTAGATAGCTAAATGATGCGCCTTCACTTTGCCCCATATTTATTTGTCCTTCCTTGATTGTCTTTCGTCCATTTCGTCTTAGTTTATCTCCCTTCTTGTTTTTTATGGTCCACCATCAATGTGGGTTTAAATTGATGTTCTAGGTTCTACATAATTTAAACCTCTAAATAGATTCCGATATTACTTACCATTGTAAGTTGCAAACTAGTTCCTCTGTGCTAAATGGTTTTCAAAGTTGATGTGATGGTATTTTCTCAACCTTTGCCCTCAAGTACCCTGGTACGATCGAGAGTGGGCAGAGTCCGCTCTCTCTCAAAATGCTTCGACACGGCCACGCGTATATAGCCCCTGCCAGGGAAGTCCTACTCATTGCCTTCTCGTGGCGGGGGTGTTGTTCACGAAATTGAGAGGACAAAAAGTGAATGTCCGGCGTTTTAACCGGGTTGGTGGACACGGAGAGTCCATCTAGGGGAGTTGAAAAACCCTGATTCCAAACCACTGGTGCACATGAGCTCCAGTATCCTGAAGGAACAAATGGCGTATGAACCAATCGTTGGTCACCGGGTACCATGGGACTGCATCTCCTTACGATGCTCTACTACCTTGTGGATCAGACCTTCAGGTCGAAGACTCGGAATGTGGCCCCCTAAGAAAACCACCTGCTTCGGTTTGGACACCCGGGCAGTATCACAGCTCTCACACATATCAAATGGGATTTGGGTGGCGCGTATGTAACTGGTGCCTTATTGTGCCAGTATTTATGTGTTCAAATAAATAAATAAATTTTCTTTTAGCCTGGGGTATAAAGTTAAAATCCTTCGCCGGATTGCGAATTTGTGATCGTCAATTCTGATCTGAGATAATATAATGATATGTTTTCCCAGTACTGTGCGCACTAAGTCAAGATAAATGTCAGTTGATTATGCATCTAAGCTGTCCTACTATCCCAACAAAGGAGTTTGTGGTGTACCTGAAGTTCTCGATGACGATTCCCAACTAAATTTTAAACTCACTGAACTTGTTAATTTGGTACGTCGATCCACCTACATAGTTGTGCATACTGGAGCTGGTATTAGCACATCAGTGGGTATACCGGACTTTCGAGGTCCTGGTGGTAGGTTTAAACTTTACAATAGTTTTTCATTGTAGGTGTCTGGACGTTGGAGAAAGTTGGAAAGAAGCCTAAACTTTCTATACCTTTTGAAAAAGTGATTCCATCACTAGCACATCGAGCTCTTGTTGAATTGGAAAAACATGGTACTTTGGATTTTTTGAAATCTTTCTTACGTTCCCAGATGTTGTCAAATTCTTAGTGACTCAAAATATAGATGGGTTGCACTTGAGATCTGGCTTTCCAAGAGACCGTTTGGCTATTCTTCATGGTGATATGTTTCTTGAATCATGTAGTGCTTGTGGAACTTTATACGCTCGATCAACACCTTCAGGATCAGTGGGTTTACGGCAGTCATCAGTTGTATGCACCTATTTGAAACCTAATAAACGGTGTTGCAGGTATGCTAACATATATTTGTGTAACATTAACAACAGAGGAAAGCTTCGTGATACTATTCTTGACTGGGAAGATGACCTACCACTCTTAGATTATAATCTTGCAATAGAACAGTCAAAGTTAGTCCTAAAATTTTAAAGTTGAGACTTGATTTTAAGAGTATTTTTCGGAGTTTATGTCATATCTTTTTTCGTTTCCAGAAAAGCAGATCTTCATATATGTATTGGCTCATCACTACAAATGTTCCCTGCTGCCGGTCTTCCTCTTACAAATGTTTGTAAGACTGTCAATAACAGAAGTACCAACAATTGTCCTTCCATTCAAAATGATTATAAAATTGAGAGTTCAAAGAATCTTGGATCAAAACTAGTAATTGTTAATCTGCAGCCAACAAAAATGGCTAAATATGCAACTTTAAACATAAATGCACCGGCTGACTTCGTAATGAAAGTATTATGTGAAAAATTAAATATATTGGTCCCATCCATATCTCCACTCAATAATAGTTTGTATTCACCAGTAATTGTTTTGAGGTAAGTGTATTCAAACTGCTTATTTATAACAATCTACCCAATGCTCAATTTATTCGAAGTTATCAAATCGAACCTTGGTAATGATGCCTGCTTATTTATATTGTCTTATACTTTTGGTCAAAATTTTCTGATTAATTTGTAACGAGCTGCTTTACACACTGCTTATCTTAACATTTTGAGGTGGCGAAAGTTTTTAGTTTAGTAGAATGATTTTGTTGAAATTGCTTTCTGTGAGCAGAGGGGTTTAATTGCGGAACATTTGTTATCTTCCTAGGCAAAATCACAAACTTAAGATGGAAATAAGCTATGAGAATTTCCCCACAAGTGACTAGCAGCTTATTCTGTTGGTTATGAGTTTGATTAGCTATTGTTAACACTGGTCCTTCCATTATCAGCCCGTTTGTTTTGATTGTCTTCCCTCTTGATCTGATTCTTGACCTTAAATTTGTTTATGATTTTTCTGGTTGGACGCTGAATCCGGTTAGTGAAATAGTATCATTGGGTCACAAAGTGAAGCTCAAAGCCGAGTACATTAATCTGATGATAGTAAGTCACATTGTAAATTCGAATGCAGTAATTAAATAATTAGATTGTGAAATAAGTCTGATGGAAGCTCTTTGTCTTTTGTTTGTCTACAAAATGTCTAAGTGGAAATGTGATTACATGATTTAGTGACAAGCAAAACAATGAATTCAAGTTATATATCTCTTGTTTCAAACTGAAAATCTTTATATCTTCATTTCGAACTTGATGAATCCCTTTAAAAATCTAGACGGACCTTTTGATTTTATTCTTGGATAAGTAGTAATATAACTAATGTTTTGAAGCAATGTTCCGTAAAAGATGGTTATATTTGCACGTAACCAAGTATTATTTTTAACTATTGTTGTTAATTAAAAATGTTTGTGATTTGGCATACAAAATATTGAATGTCCATAAAGTTTTCTAAATATTTCTTTCAATCTTTTTTCTCAAGGTCAATGCATTCCAATTTAAAAGCACAATGTCCATGGCGTATTCTCCCTCATCCAACCAATAAGCATTCACTTCTCATTGTTCAAACTAGTAGTCAGTGCATGGAACTAAAAACAAAAAAGGATGATGAAACGAGCTGTTTTCAGTCTGAAATTGCTACAAACGAGTCACGCAGTACTGTTTCATTTCAGTTGTCTAAATTAGAATCAACGTCTTGATCATTTTTTCTCTGCTGATGTTTGTCTTTGAAGTTCAATAAACGATAACCTATTTTCCCTAGTTTTTTTCTGTTATTGAATATCTCATTTTTTATTGGGAAACTGTAACGTAAACTCATCCAAATTATCTTCTCTATTTTATACTTCCAGCTATCCATGACTTCCCATCTTCGTGGTTGGGTTATCTACATACTGCTTTTATTTTTACGGTTTCTGTTTGTGTTCGATTTGCAGTCGGGTTATTTACATCCAGATGAGTATTTTCAGGGGATTGAAGTTGCAGCGGGTGACATTTATAATCTGGACGTATTAAGGACATGGGAATTTCAATTAGATGATAAAGGTCCTCTTAGATCTGTAGCTGGAATGTCACCTTTTGTACATATCCCGATTCAGGCTGCCAAATGGATTCATGGTGGAATTGATTATAAAAGTAATGTTTCTGTGATTTGAGGTTTGTCGCTCATTTTACACACATTTTATCTGAGTCCCAGGTATACTGTTGAAAAATATGGGACTACGGTTAAATAGGACAACCTATCAGAGGTACGGAGGTTATGTTCTTTCTGCCAAAATCAAGTTGATTTGTGTACTACATTCTTTTTTACATGTTTTTTATACCATAAAGTTATTTTCATTGCTATTACTATTATGCATGTGTGAACCAGTAGCTAAGGCGTCCTATTTCCGTCCAGGTTCGAACCCCCCTTCATCTACGGATAGGACAACTAGTAGTTCTACTAACCCTTACACTTAGCGTTCGACTTAAAGTGCGTAAATCTGCACTTGGTAAACGAGTTAATAATCATTATATATCTTAGTTGATAACACATCTAGTTGAAAAACTAGTAAATATTCGTCTTATAACTCTTGATTAGCCTTTGCTTCATATCTTGACATTGGCTAGCTTCTGTCTGTCAAGTTTCGTTGCTCGTTCAAGTTTTTGATAAATGAGAGTTAGCTAGTGTTTAGGATTGAGTCGGTACATAAACATGGTTATCATGCCCTTATAAAGTACACGATAGTGTTTGTGTGTATTATTTTTAATCATCTTGAAAATATCCCTAGTATTTCAATTTATTTATTTTTTAGCTGAAGAAACTGACTTCAATGGATCTGATATGTTAAATAGAGTTCTGTTTCCCTCCCGGTTAGTCACTGTACTTGGTTCATATTTAGTCGATCTTTTTATATTACGCTGTTGCATACGTGTTGATCATCATCAAGTTTCAGCAAAGCAGACTAAAATTCAAAAAATATTACATGCTGTACAATATCATTCTGTACCAACAGCTTTATTACTTTATGCATCATGCGCATTCGGTGGGAGTTTATGGTCTACACGTACAATTGTCAATGTATGGGAATCAATTTATGTTTCTTTATTTGGCCTACTGTTCTTGGAAGTTTTGGATCGTTTAGAGCAATCATCTGATCCTACTGTGAATAAACAATCCTTAATTCTTTTCATGTGTATTCAGTCTGCTGTTGTTGTGTGGGGTACATTTTTGCGACCTACTTATATTTTGTTCATTCTTCCATTAGGAATTATCGAATTAGCATTCATCTTAGTCAAGTTTAAGTACATTTCCATGATTCTTTGTTTACCATCTGTTCTACTTGTTTTTTTCAATACATTCATTTGTGTAATAATAGATACATTATACTTTCACAATGTGAGTTTATTACAAGCTTTCCAGGTCGATTTTTCACGATTTAAGTTGATATATACACCTTACCGGTTTTTAACTTATAACTCCAACTCATACCATGTTTCTTCCCATGGCTTACATTCTCGATTTACACACTTCCTTGTTAATTGGCCTTTAATATTTGGACCTATTTTTACATTTCGTTTATTCACTCAACCTTTACAACGTCGTTCAATTTCGTCGTGTATTGCTTGGATCAGTGTGGTATTCCCTACATTTGTTTTGTCTATTATACCTCATCAAGAAGCACGTTTTCTTATCCCATGCCTACCGTGTGCTTGTTTCGTTGTTGGTCAGAGTGTTGATGCTAAAGTCAGACATACAAAACGAAAAGACGTTTCATGTACTTGTATAAGTATTATTGTACTATGGATATTTCATCAGTTTATCTTGATTTTATTTTATGGGTACTTACACCAAGCTGGGCTATTTTCTTATATGAGAACCATTCCAAGTAATGTAACTGGATGCGTCACTCATGTATTCTTCAGAACTTACATGCCACCTCGTTTTTTGTTAAATATACCTTTAGAAAAATCTTCACATTATCCATCACAGTCTTGCAAATCACTTATCGATTTAGGAGGATCTAATGTGACAATTTTAAACAATACAATAAACCATCTTAAAACATATCAAAATTTCTCAGGTATACTCAAATTGGTGAGTCCAGCTGTTTTTGCAATCCTGATTAGAGATTTATTTTTCATCACTGTATTTTTTTTAGAGTAAAACAATACTATATAATTTACTCTATGAATTAAATATTAAGGAGACTAAAATACTAGGAAATTACTCTTACCCACCAAGTAATGCATCTTTAGTTTGAACCTTATTCAGGTAGCCATTGGCTAATGAAACCGAAAATATCATGAACCCGTTTTAAGTTTTGAGCAATCGTGTTTAAATAAATTTACTGTTTCTAAAGATCTGAATATTTTTTGGAAAAGAAACCCAAGAGAAATTTCATCTTAACTATTTGTTTTTTTATTAAGTGGAACTACTGAAAATATTTAGAGTTATACCATAATGACTTTTTGGGTTGGTGATATCTGGGGGTCTATTCAACTGGAAGATAATTTCCATGAGCTGATATTTATTGAAGAACTGTTAGACCGTGAGACCCTGGACGCCTGTTTTGTCCCGATTGGAAGCTCCTCAGCAGTATGAGTCTACAGCACTTTTTGGAGTGAAAGCCAGAACTTTTAACATTTGATTACCACTTGTGACTTGTGTTTTAAACATTTGACATAATTCTTGTTCATTGGGTACTACTTCTAGCCGTAATAAAATCGACGCGACTCAAGGCTTAGCACATAAATCTACACTAAGTTTGGTAATAAGGTTAACTTTTCATTTGCATTAGTATCACTTTTTTTTAATGCTCTGTTTTTTTGCTTAAGGGTATTTAATTAAACTGTTTAACTTGCTACGGAATAAATAGTTCTTTCTATAAATTTTTATAGTGTAACAAAAAGGAGTTAATCTGAAAAATGTTGTGTTTTCGCCATATACATTACGAACAATCTAGCCACACTTGTCAAACTATTACAATTGAAAAACTGAAAATCAAGATTACTGTAAATATATGGTGGTAAGAGAGTAAGAATTTAATGTAATATGAAATAAATATGTTGTCATCCTGGATTATGGTTTCCTTTTCTTTCCATTTGCCTCTTCATATTTACTGACTATTATTTAATTGGCCTTTATTTGTCTTCCATATACAAACGCCTTGACATATGTGACCAGATAGTTCGAAATGCGTAACTCAAATGCATTTCGGTTTTCATATCAACTCCATCTCATTTGATTTAGTATTCAAGGTTTCGTGTTCAGTGTATCAGTAAACTTTGAGTTATCCATAGTGATTAAGAAAGAGTAAAAGAGCGAACGATCGTCTTCAATATCTTTTTCATTCGGTTGTACAGTTATAAATCCAAAATTATCATGTTTAAATAGACAAAATATTCGTATTGGACAATTGTGTTTTCATAATGATTAGTGATTTCTCTCTGCACATTTAGGCGTATCCTGGATCCATACAACCGTTGGAAAATTTACTTCTATCCTCTTGGGGTAATGTCGTTATGTGTGAACAGTTCTTCCCACATTTATCAATGGAGAACCCGCCATCCATTCGTCATCCTTTTGTTTACGAAAACTGGAAATCTCAATTATCATTACACGTACTAACGATCAAAGTTTAACTAAAATATATTTTCATCTAAATTTTTCTATGTGCTAATGTACTTTTTACATTCGTTTTTTCCATAAATCTATTCGTATACCATTCTTTTGTTCTGATTTTAAATTTTGGTGTACATTAATTTCCAGAGTTGTTTGCTTTTAGTGTATTTGGATGATGACACTTATCAGTGGGAAACCAACAATTTGTTAGTCTGCCTGGTCATGCACTTAAAATGCCATAAATCCAATACGGGTTTTCAGTCAATCAGTCAGTTAAGAACAGCATAGAGCCTGGCACATATTTATATTTGTTCAAGTTGCCCTGCCACATTTGCACAGCGAAATGAATTTAAGAAGATAAACAGTAAAGAAATCGAAATAATGTTCTAGCAGTGACTCTACTGAAATCAGAAATCCTTCCAGAACTTACATACTTGAAGTGATTGCTAATAAAACTGATCAATATAACTGTAACTAAGTGATATTACTAATGTTGTTGGACTAAGTTACTTTGATATATATCTAGTAGCTAGAAAAATGTGCTGTGTTTAGACAGATTGTCCTGTTTTTTTTTCTTCAAATATTAACTTATTACATCAGACCGAATATTATTATCATTATTATTATTATCATTATTATTATTATTAGTCCAAATCCACAGCATTTTCGGATACTGTTATGATATACGATCACTGATATTCCATCTGATTGATGTATATTGGATGGGATCAATTAGAGGCAATCACCGCGTTGTTTTTTGGTAGTGGCGTTTAATTTCCGGAATTACTATGCTGAAGGTATAAAATAATGGCTATATAGCGGTGTGTGTGCCTTTAATGAATGTGTGATTACTGTTTATTTCTGCTTCTGCGTGAGTATTGAAAAATTATCAATTCTTACTTATTTTTATTTCTACTTGTGTGATCCCTTTCAAGGAGTCCAATACCTTTGGAATGACGATTGATAAACATACTATATTCGAAACATCTAATCCCCTAACAGAATCTGTTAAACATTTACCAGGGATTACTTATGAAAGTCGAGTACTTGGTCATTTTCAAAATCCTGAATTGTTTCATTCACCTGCCTCACTACCTAAACTGACTCCATCCCCAGACGTTAAGAATAGATCTCATTTATCCAGTATAAACAATAAACCATTGGTTCTGAATATTTCTAATCCCAGATTTCCACCAATAAATTCATCCAAATCGACGACCACCAATGATTTTAGCGGATTATGGGTGAGTTGTTGATTCTGTTACTATGACATTTATTATGTATTGCATTTATACTCTAGAACTGGCTAGAAGTGCAGCTGTAAGATAAAAGTGCATCCCGGTTTCCATGACAATCTCCAAAAATGACTACTTTAGTCATTGATTGGTTCTGATCCAACCCATGTACTTTTCAACCACATACCTGTTATTTAGAGGACTCCATTAGGAATTCTATCTCTAAATAACTCAGGTCGATAGAGATTATCTATATTGTTCCTGTAAAGTGTTAATTAAAACTAAAGTACAGCAGTTCAAAGGAATTCATCTTTCAGAAGGCTGGCGTAGTTGGTTTTCCATTCATCTCAATGGTGATTGCGAATATTCCAAGAAACTTAGTTTTCAGAGCTGGATAACCTACTTTTATTTATTTCTGAGACTCAATTATTCATTGATGACATCTGTTCTTGAGAAATCTGGGGGCATGAGTTATATGCTATTGTTTATTGGATTTAATAGTTAAATTTACTTCATTACAGGCTCAAAGAACCTTACTAGTAAGCATTCATATTTCGACCTATACATTATCTGAACGCGCTATGACAATGGAAAATATAGGTAGTATGATTTCAAATCTAAAAATGACATGGATGCATCAATTCTTCACCTTCATACTTCGGACATTCCACCACTCATTATAGTCCCCCTTCCTGACTCCTACTTTTGTTTATTTTAGTATTTTTTATTGTAGATTTCGTCTTTTTATACCGTTACAAAATATGGTTGTTTGATTAAATAATTTCATTCGTTAGCATTTGTACCTATCTATCTTTATTTCAAATCTGATACAGGAAATGATTAGTCAACCACAAGTTTCAAGACTTTGACTAAAGATTGCAATATGACAGCAGAATTCAGTGGTTTCTATCCATCTAAAATAAATCCTTTTTGATCACCAACTTAGTAGAGCGTAATTTATAACACACAAAAAATGAAATCATTTCATCGTAAGGTATTACCTCAACTTTATACGTAGCATAAAAACACATCAGGAACTATCGAGAAGTACATCTGACCAGCATAATTTCCGAAATCTCCAAACTAATAAACGTTTACAAATTTTCACTTGTTTCGGTCTACTGACTTAAACGAATGAATCATAATCTATTCCACCTAGGTAACAGTTTTATGTGGTGATTGTTCTCATCCGTAACTTAGGTATACTTTCTAAGTGGGTTTCATCTTCACGCTTTCCAAATATAGTCGTCTCGTTGTTTGACGACTATATTTATCTTGAAATCTGTCAGACATATTTGGGGCTATTTTGCGAAGTAGTGTGGCACCGCATGAGAATAAATTTACGAGCGTTGGCAGAGTTCACTTCTTTGAGGTTAATTTTTTTATAAGCCTGATGTGCTGAGCAATGACCTCTTAGGATTCAGTCATCTTCTGCGGTCAGAGACTGAACTTATATACTTATTTACTTCTGTTACTCCCAATGGAGCATAGACCATCGACCAGCATTCTCCAACCCACTCTGTCCTGGGCCATCTTTTCTAGTTCTATCCAACTGTAGTTCATTCTTCTCATGTCTATCTCCATTTCCCGGTGTAATATGTTCTTTAGTCTTCCTCCTTCCCTTTGGTTTTGAGGATCCCATGTGTGTCCTATTCACTTCCAGCGCTTCTTTCTTATTTCTTCCTCCACTGGGATCTGGTTTGTTCTCTCCCACGGTAGGTTGTTGCTAATAGTGTCCGGCCAACAGATCCGAAGTATTTTACGTAGACAACTGTTAATAAACACCTGTATCTTCTGGATGACGGCTTTCGTAGTTCTCCAGGTTTCTGCCCCATACAATAGAACTGTCTTGACATTTATATTGAAAATTCTGACCTTGGTGTTGGTTGACAGTTGCTTTGAGTTCTAGATGTTCTTCAATTGTGAATATGCTGCTCTTGCTTTGCCGACCCGCGTCTTCACATCTACATCAGATCCACCATGTTCATCAATGATTCTGCCCAAATATGTAAAAGTTTTTACATCTCCCAAATCTTCTCCGTCAATTGTGATTGGATTGGTGCATTCTGTGTTGTATCAGAGAATCTTGCTTTTCCCTTTGTGTATATCGAGACCTATTGCTGCTGAGGCTGCTGCCACACTGTTCGTCTTCTCCTGCATCTGTTGTTGCGTTTGGGATAGAAGGGCCAGATCATCTGCGAAGTCTAGATCATCCAACTGCATCCTAGATGTCCATTGTATCCCGCGCTTTCCTTCGGACGTTGACGTCTTCATGATCCAGTCGATCACCAGGAGAAAGAGAAAGGGTGAGAGTAAGCAACCTTGCCTGACACCGGTCTTCACTTCGAACGACTTTGTCAATTGTCCTCCATGCACAATTTTGCAGTGTAATCCATCATATGAGTTCTGTATGATATTGACTATCTTCTGAGGCACGCCGTAGTATCGAAGAAGCTTCCATAGTGTTGTTCTGTGCACACTATCGAATGATTTCTCTTAGTCAATGAATTTGATGTAGAGTGATGAATTCCATTCAATTGATTGTCCCACAATGATCCGTAGAGTTGCGATTTGGTCTGTACATGATCTATCCTTAGGGAATCCTGCCTGTTGGTCTTGAAGTTGGGCGACTGAAGTAGATGTAACGTAATGTTATTATGTTAGTATTGTCTATATGTAAGGACATAACTTCCTTCTATGGATAATTTTATTAAGTATGTTCATTTTCATAGTTGAATTTATGAGTTAATCTAAGCTAGACCACCATTGAAAACCTGAGAGCACTGGACGGTCGTTTCGTCTAGAGGTTAAGCATTCATGCGCGAGATTGGAGGTCCTGAGTTTGAGTCCCGTGTGACGGATCGTGGATGAGCACTTCTGAGGAGTCCATTATTAAGACGAAACGGCCGTCCCGTGCTTTCAGGTTTCCAATGGTGGTCTAGCTTAGATGGACTCATGAATTCAATTATTAAAATTACCACAATCTCCGCAAATCCTCATTATGTTCATTTTGTTTTCTAGTTTCTCATTGTCTCTTAAAAATTCATTAACGTCACTTCATTACTTAACAGTATGTCTTAGCGAAATTCAAGGAGCCTGTTTATATAGTCACAGGTTTTAATGGATATGTATAACGACAGACTTGATATTGTATTTACGTTGTACGTGTTAATTTTTACCAAAACAGGTGTAGTGTGTTCAAAATGTAGACTTTGATGACTGGATTCTCACCCACTGGGTCCAGTGTAATGTGGTGTGAGTTTTGGTAATCTTAGTTTTAACTCATCAAGTCTTACGATGTGTACTATATCTTGGGTGTGGAAGTATTTTTGGTTTCTTGGCTACACACATCCGACCCTCGTTAGTATTTTCAAATTGCTACGTCAAAAGTCTTTGGTAGTTTAAATTGAAAAACTTGATTTCTTTTCTTTTCTTGTTGCTTTAATATAGCCGCCAAGTATCTCACTGTCCAACCGTATTATCAACAAAAATAATGATGGTTCACTGATATTACAAAATGATAGTTTCATTCCCAAAGCTCTGTCTGACCAACAAGATTTTCGCATTCCAACTAGCATAATCAATGATCAAATAGTTGTTCAAAACCCCTCATCGATCTGTCTTGCGGCAAATAATATTTCTGTAACCATTTCCCCTGCCTTACCAAACCTCATAACTTCGTCTGCATTTTGTTGTCCAACACGTTTCATTCCAGAAAGTGTAAAAACAACTGTATCAAATCGAGTAAGCTATTGTTTCACTCCTTACTTTCTTCTATTCGATTGTCACCTATTTTACTTCGATTACATGATCACTGATATAGTTCAATAAACATTATGATCAAGTTGTTTTGATACCATATTTGTT